ATCTGTACTGGGTTGACGGTTTGCCAGCCCCAGATTGGAAAACGTGGTGGCTGCGAGCGCTTGCTCGGTTTTTGCCTGGGGCCGTGTGTGGCGGCGCGCGTGGTTGTCTCATTTCCCTCTCATCCCTCCTTTGCGCGCCGAAGCAGGTTCTCATGCAGGAGATGACATAGCTTCCTCTGGGGGGGGGGGGGGGGGACTGTTGCTGTGGTTTTGGAGGATGGTATGACGTATGCGGCTCGGAGAATTCTTTTTTTCTCGTGCTTGGGGTGAACACTTTCTCAACTGGGATGTTGAGTGAGGTGTGGAGCCGGCACTGCGTCACTCGGACGGGAGGGTTGACGGGTAGCGTGCCCCGGGGCGGGATTGCTGGGCGGTTGGCTGACCCTTAGCCCCTCCTGCGATGAAAACCCGGGATCACTTGATTCTCGAGGCTGTTTGGTAGTTTCACGAAGGGTCTGGAATGGGCGGTTTTGAAGTCTGCGCGCCCTGGTGGCTGGTGGTATGTCTTGGATGCTGCATCGCGATACGATCTCGTGTTTTCCCTAGTGGCCTCATACAGACACACAAGAGCGGGAAGGTGTTCGTCTTGACGCATGTCGCGGTCAGTTCCGAATTGTTGGGGGCCTTGGAAGCAGGGCGACACCCTGGTGCTTCTGGGGAAGGAACAGCATCATCACTGGTTCTGCGATTCGCGTGCCTGAGAATCAGAGTTCGGAATGTTAGAGGGCTTGACCTTGTCTGTATGCTGCAGTACGGTAGACCACTTCGCCTATCTTCGATTGGGTGCCTGGAGCATTTCGTGATGCTTGTTGCTATCTGGTGTTCTTTCGTGAGTAAGTTGATACGAGGGAACCACGGCATGAGGTTGAGCAGACGCTGTGATCTGTCCTTGAAACCAGGGAGCGAGACTGGATACGAGAAGACGATTGATGGTACTACACATTCACTCTGCATTCTCAGGATGGAGATTGTGTAACCTCTTCCCATTGCAAGGCGACATGGAAGTTCAAGGCAAACTCTGGCTTCCTTAGAATCGCGTTGGGAATTGATACTATGAGACCAAGTCGGTGAGGTTTCCGCATCATGATGTCGATGATATCCAGCGACAACAAATGACAGCGACCAACAGAGAACGAGGGTAATCGGAAACCGGTCAAGGACCAAACAAGTGTGATGGGTGTTTTGGCAAGTAATCACGCAATGTTTCGAAAAATCATTCTGACGAAGAGGTCCAGAGTGAAATAAACAGATGGCTTGAGTCGTGGTCGTCCCACAGGGGCAGTTCCACTGAAGAAGGCCTCGCTTCAGCGCTTGGCTCGCTGGAGATGCTTACGTACACGGCTCCAATGCCGAACTTCAAACGGGATAAGTGAGAGAATCCTCCAAGAACAACTCACCCATTCCAGATGCCGAAACAGGCATTTCTGACGGTCGTGATGGTGTCGCCAACCTCCGGCCTTCGCATTTTACCAAGAAACCAACAGGCTCACAAAGACTCTGTCCTAGGATAAAGCCTAGTGTTACGGCAATGGATTTCGACCTGCTGTGGCGCAGGCTAGAGGCGATAATTAGGAAACCCCATTGTGGCTCGTTACACTGGAGCGAGTCCAGCCCAGCCCACCGCGGTGCTGGCCGCCCGGACTCCGGGAATGGATGCAGGCATGGCTGGGCAAGCTCCCAATACACCGGATGAGTTACGTATCCACCTGACCTCGTCCAAACTCTCTTCTTTCATCATCGGTCAAGGGCTGCATAGTTATACGACTCTTGCAAGAACCCTTATTACCTTCCAACAACGCTCGCCCGCCAATTATCGAGTCTTGCATCTGTCTCGGCCGCTGCTTTTCACCCTTGTTGGCTGAGTAATTTTACTCCATCCGCGCCATTGACAGATACGGGGTTGAAGGCGCCGAAACTGCCAACCCACTCGTCACATCTCGATACTACTCGCATTCAATACGACCGACTGAGCGGACGGACGGACGACGACTGCCGGACCAAACACACAAAGCCAGGCACGGCTGATTGGTCACTGACCTTGCATGCAACCTGAGCCTTCCTCCAAAGGGCATCCATCAAGAAAATCAAGGTCGCGGTGAAGTTGGCCAGCGGCGGCATCCCGTTATCTACTAGCCACATTACGATCCCGCCCCCCTCCTCTCCCTACCTTACCTGACCGTCCCCCTCGCCGTACCTACCGTATTATCCGGTCATACCGAAACCGAACGAACGCCGCTCACAGTCTGACCGTTGCTGTCGCTGCCTCTGCCTGCCTGCCTTGCCTGTCCTTGCACCTGCCCGCACCAACTCTGCCGCCCGCGCGCTCACTCATTGCCTGTTTCCCCCTCCGAAGGGGTGCAGTCCTCACTCCGGGGCCGCAAAGTATTATTAACTCGCCCCCAACGCCCCCAACGGACGGAGCCCAGCCAGCCATGCCTTCCGTGAAACATGGCTTCCTTAAGTAAGCTCTCACATCCCCTACTCCCAACCGTCATCCGTCCTATGTCGTCGAGCTGGGCTTTTTTTCGGCCTCGCTGTCCATTTGTTCACCTTACCCTTTTTATCCTATATCGGGCCCCTCATTCCTGAACCCCCACGTGGTTGGCAACGCTTGAGCCTGTCCATGAGGCTGAGATCTCACTGAGACAAGGACTCGGTGGCTTTCTTGGTGGCTTCTCCAGCCTCACTCATTCACCGTCGTCACTGCAGCATCCTAACCACCTATCATTGCCATTCCCATGTCTCTCCCTTGATTTACGTCCTACCTTTGGGGCTCGGGGCTTTTGAGTCCCTGCCTCTTTTTGCTTCCCGCTCCGGCCACAACTCTCTATCGTCCACCTAGAATATCACTCGCTCATCATGAGTCCTCTCAAGAGCTTTGCTAACGGGGGCTTCCTTCCCACAGTCAATAAGAACAGAAAGGTAAAGCATTCGTCTGTACCCACATTCTGTCATGAGAAACTCAATCCCTCGGAAAGTGGAGGATGTGCATTCTGATTCGGACCACTCAACGAACGAGAAGCGTGCTAACAATTTTTGACGCAGCCAAAGTTTGAGCTACACCTAAAGGTTCGCGAACACCATCCGCAATAGCTCCAAAGGTTTCCTGGCTAACATTTCCCAGATCTACGACCTAAACAACGTCCCGCTGGTGTCTGGAACATCAATAGTGAAATGGCACCTCTCTCACTCCATCATCGCTGAGCATCGGGGCCGCACTCCCAAGTGCCCCATCTCCAACCACAAGGTCGAGTACAACTACCAAAAGGTAGTCAGTCACATCCGGATCAGCATCGACAAGAACAACAACTTGACCGAGTGCCCCGTCGAGTTTGAAGTACTGCAAGAGTTTTCCGGTGGCGGCCACGATGAAAAGATCTCGCTCGGCAAGGTGCAACTAAACCTCAGCGAGTACGTCGAGGAGAGCGATGGCCTCACCCGCGAGAGCAGCAGCTTCGACCGCGGCCACGCGCGCAAGCGCAGCAGCGGCACTGCAAGCACGAGTCCCAAGTCGATGAAAGCCCCCATCCTGGAGGATCCTGATGTCGAGGACGGCATCGTCAGGCGCTACCTCATGCAGGACAGCAAGATCAACAGCACCTTGAAGATAGGGATTTTCATGAGACAGCTGGATGGCGACAAGGGGTACTCTGCGCCGCCGCTGAGAACAGCACCCGTCTTTGGAGGAATCGCCGGCATCATGGCAGGCGAGCAAGTCGAGCAGGACGACGCAGGGCGTACGCTCCCCTTACCCCAATAGCCAAACCCTTGGCATTCCTCGCTGACCTTCACAGAAATTCCCAACATGGCCAAGTCGCGTGACGCGTCAGAGGTTCAAGACATGTACCGTCGCGCCCTCGCAGCCTCCTGGTCCTGCCAGCCCGGCGAGCTCCCCGCAGACGAGTGCATCGAGGACATCTTCTCCGGCGGCGACGGCTGGCGCACCGGTAGGACCGGCCGCACCGGCAAGACCGCGACCTTCGATCTCGACAACAACGGCTCCCTGAGCTCCGACGAGGGCGGCATGGGCACTCTCCGCCCGTCGGACCTGCGCAAGCTGCAGCAGAAACAAGAGCGTCAGAAGCAGCAGCAACAACAGCAGCAGCAGAAACAGGACCACCACCACCACCTCACCCTCCACCTGCACCAAAACGGCGGCGGCAACGCTCGCAACCACTCCCGCAGCAACAGCGGCTCCAGCGACCGCAGCTTCACCACCGTCCTCACGGCCCGCGCCAACGACGGCGCGAGCAGCACGACGGCGGGCATAGGCCGTCGCGGTTCCCGGCATGGCCGCCGAGAGCTTCGCGACGACGATGGTCGCGGCGGACGCAGCGGGTACCCGCGCTCGAGGAGCCGGAGCGGGAGCATGGCGAGCCTTGCGCCGACGATAGGCAGCAGCGACCGCGGGCGCGACTCTCGGAGGAACAGAGAGCTGGAGGAGTTTGATGTACGGGACGATCTTGTGGCGTGGAGGCTCCCTGGCGCTGTGTCGTAAGGCATGATTAAGGCGCACTCGGCAACTCTCTTTACTATATATCGGCGGATTCTGTTCAGGCAGGGCGTATGGATGCATCAGCGACCATGTTATTTGTTCCTTCCTTTCCAGCGTTAGCTATCTTTAAGACAACACTGTTGCATATTGCATTGGCGATTTAGCTATCAATTTGTATTCGTGCCGAGGAAAGATGGGGCTTCTTGCATCCTCCCCCTTGCGCCATATGAGGCAGCGAGACAGTTGGTAAGAGGTAGTTCATCACTTTTTGACGTTCTTCTCATTCATGCGTTTTGCCTCTCTCGTCTATGTTCCCAGTGATTTCGTTCCAATCCATTTCCCCCCACCCTCCGCCATATAAAATCCATGTATCTATGCTGAAATAGGGAGGACCTGACAGATGAGTACCCTCCCCTTCTTTTAACCACCACATTGCGCCTGGCTAACGCACACGATTTATGTGTCTTTCTCTCTACGTTTGCTCTTTTCTCTTTTCGTCTAGCATTCAAGAAGCCTTGACGGTACCGCGGACACCGCCCTTTCCGCCAACTTCCCTCGCCGTTATCGTGAGACCGAGGTCGGCGGCAACGTTGATGGTGACCTCGACCTTGGAGCCCTTGCCCACGCCGCGGACGGCGGTCTCGGCCAGGGTAGGGCCGACCTTCCAGATCTTCTCACGGGTCTCCTCCTCTTCCTCCTCGGAGTCGAAGTCGGAGTCCTCGTCGTCGCCGTTGGTCTCGGGCTTAGCCTTGGGCTCGGGCTTGGTGACCTTGATGTGGGCGCCGCCCTCGACGATGCGGATGAGGACGTCGCCGCCGTCCTTGGGGCCGGACAGCTGGATGGTGCGGCGGGCGGGGACGGCAGTCTCGGCGGGGACAACGGGGACGAACTCCTCGTCAGCGCCGACAACACCGATGGCATTAGCAATGTGCTTGACGGTCGTGACAGCAGCGTGGGTGCTCTGGTCGATGTCGTCGGCCTCGTACTCCTGGATCAAGGAAGCCTGGAGGGCGGCACCACGGGCTCCGAGCTCGGAGGGGTTGATGGCGGAGGGGGCGGTGGAGGGGGCGATGATCTGGGTGGACTCGGGGAAGACGTTGGCGAAGTTGGCGGCGATGCGGGGGGTGTGTGCAGTTCCGCCGGACAGGATGACCTCGTCAATGTCAAGAACGTCGAGCTCAGCCTTCTTGACGACGCCCTCAACGAGACGGTTGAAGCCCTCAAAGACCTTGCGGGCGGACATCTCGTAACGTAATCTGTTGATGGTGGAGGTAAAGTCGAAGCCGTCAGCCAGGGACTCGACGCTGAAGCTGGCGTTGGTGCCGAGGGACAGGGCCTTCTTGGTGGACTCGGACTCGAGCTTGAGCTTAGCGAGGGAGCGGGCGTTCTCGCGAGGGTCGACGTTGTGCTTCTTGATGAACTCCTTCGCGAAGTGGTCCATCAGGACCTGGTCGAGGTGGCTGCCGGAGAAGTCGTAGTCGTGGGCGGTAGCCAGGATTGTGTACATGCCGCCACGGGAAGCGACGACGGCGACGTCGGAACGGGTGCCACCAAGGTCGGCGACAACGACGATCTTGTCTTTGACCTCAGCCTCGGGGCGAGCATCGTAGGCGAGAACGGCGGAGATGGGGTCGGAGATGATCTGAAGAACCTCAAGGCCAGCATCGTTGGCAGCCTTGACGAGAGCCTCCTTCTGCTTGTCGGAGAAGTTCGTGGGGACGGAGACGACAGCAGAGGTGACCTTCTTGCCAAGGTAGTCGGAGGCAGAGCCGACGAGACGGCGAATGTAGCGGGTGGCAACCTCGGAGACAGGCACGGTAGAGGGCTCCTCGGCGCCCTCCTTGTCCTTTACTGTGAAAGAGATGGTGCCGTCGACATCCTTGGGGTGGGCGGAGGCGTGGTTGTGGGTAGGGTCGATGGACTTGAACCTGGTGCGGGCATGTTAGCCAAATGAGATAGAAAGACACAATTTCAAATCACAAGACATACTCCTTGCCGAGGAAGTCCTTGAAGTATGCGATCGTGTTGTCGGGGTTGCGGATGAGGAAGTTCTTGGCCTGGGCTCCGTAGTACTCGTCGCCGTCAACGTAGGAGAGGATAGTGGGGATCTGGCGGTCTGCGGGCAATTCGTCAGAACTTCTGCTCTTTACAGCACAAACAACCTAGTGTCACAGGCGGTTGATCTCACCTCCGTCCTCGTTGGCAATAACCTCAGCCTTCTCGTCGACGGTGTAGGCAATAGAAGAGTTGGAGTTGCCAAAGGTGATACCAATGACGGTGCGGTCGCCCGGCGCAGGGCGCGAGTCACCGTTCGCAGCCATTTGTGCTATATTATAGGTCGCAAAGGGTTGTTGCGTATATAGGTGGTATCTGAAAGTCTCTGGGACGGACGGGGGACGTAGGGTGTCGAGAGTTGCCGCGGATCCTGTCGAGATCTTTGGTGAGGTTGTTTTCAAGGTTGATAATGGTGGGGGTTCAAGGCCAAAATTTTGGGCAAGGGAAAAAAAAAATTCCCACGTTCGCTGTTCGCCCAGTGGCATCGGGGTACCTTCCCCACCCCCCCCCCCCCCGGTCGTGTCCCAATCAAATTCAGTGTGAATTTGTAAAGTGCCCCGCCAAAAGCTTTCCAGCCTCTGCAAGGCTGATCGGCAGCGAAGAAACCGCTGAAAGGCGACTGAGAGAAGCGCCCTGGCCCAGAACCTGACGATTCCAACTCAACATTCTCGTCGTCACCCGCTTTCGTCATGGCTACAGCGGGCCCCTTCGTTCTCCCAGGCGAAGAGATTGACGCGTCTCTGATCCCGTCCCACCAGAAGCTTCCTCTCAGACTTGGTCCTGGCCTTCGCCATGTGCCTCCTCGTCAAATAGTACCGACCATCGCGGGCAAGCTCGTCACAGACCGCAAGAAGAACTCGATATGGGTTGAACAGACTGGCGGAAGGGTAGGTCCAATCTCTCTCGACTGATTCACAGGCAATTCTGACTGGATGAATACAGTACATCCCTGCCGTTGGCGACCTCGTCGTCGGCACCGTCCAGCGCTCTGCCTCCGAAATCTACTACGTCCTCTTGGCCGACTACTCGACGCCTGCAATCCTCCCCCAACTCGCTTTCGAGATGGCGTCCAAGAAGAACCGCCCCCACCTTGACTCAGGCGCCCTCGTCTACGCGCGTGTCACCCTTGCGAATAAACACATGGACCCCGAGCTGGAGTGCGTCTACCAGTCCACTGGTAAGGCCGACGGTTTGGGACCTCTCGTGGGCGGTATGCTCTTCAACATCTCCCTTGGCATGGCGCGTCGTCTGCTGAGCCCCAAGACGACGGACCTTGTAGTTCTGGAGGAGCTGGGTGCGACGGGCGCCGCGTTCGAGACGGCCGTGGGCCGTAACGGCAAGATCTGGGTGAACAGCGAGAGCATCAAGGTCATTATCGCGGTGGGAAGGGCCATTCAGGAGACAGACGAGCGTGGACTCTCGATCGACCAACAAAAGAAACTTGTCAGGTCCTTAATCAAAGATTTGAGTTAATCATACGCGCCACCGTGATGCTTTTGGCCTATTCTACATGTTTCCCCAGCCAACTCATGGCATCAAAACGCCTTACTGCTGTCATCGCAGTCCCTGAACGAATGTGCCTTGATTGCCTAATATTCCCAAACCGTAGGGGAAAATATCCAGTGATATATAAACAGGTTGCTCTGTGGCAAGAAAGAATGGTGCCTGTGAGCGTCGCGGGGATTTGGCTTCCTCTTTGAGTTGCCGACCTGAATCCAGCTCTGCTGAAGTCAAGCATTTGCACCCGCGTATCAGAGCCACAGGGAGGCTCTGGGGAAATCTGCTTGCAAGTTCACGCGTCTGTCAAATACTCGACTGACCACTTCCCAAGCATTGTCCGTCGTCCGTTCGCGTTCGGGCATCGGACCCCAACCGTCTGCTGGGGTCAATGTCCGTCTTCCGATGAACTAGTATTTGGCACCTGTCGACCGGGCGCACGCCCCTCTCGCCACGCTCAGGTTCCTCCCATGATTTCGTCGACTAAATCGGGTTCCGGATCACCCATAGGCGTAACTTGGTGGATATTGACCATATGTCTCCTCCAGTTGTCTTTTCGCGGGAATGACTTGCCCCCCGTTTTTGAGTAAGGGCAAGTGCTGACCGTACAGTGAAATTTCTTCGTCTTCCTGTGCTTGTCGTTGATGTGGCGATCCAAATGGGTTTTGGTTCCAAATCTCTTGCCGCAGTTTGGCTCAGTACATTCATGCGGTCGCTCGTGGTACCGCTTGTGGTGGCTATATCAATTAGCGTTTGGACGGCGAACAGCCTTCGAAGCGACTCACTTTAACTTATGAACCTGATCGAAAAATCGACCGCACTCATCACACATAAATGTGCGCGGAGATTGCTGCTGCAGACCTGGATACGGCGAGGCACTGTTGCGGATATCTGAGCTGTTGTCTGATGGAGGCGATGGGCTACTGTCGATCTGGGTGTTCGGCGTCGTCTGATACGATGCCCCGGATGAGACGTGACCACCCATTTGAGGAGAATGTTCAGACGGGTCGGTAATTTCTCCCTCATAATAGTGGTTGGTCCGGTCGGGCATAAGATGAGTCGGATCAACTTGATGGGGCACATCGTTCATGCGGACATCGTGTTCAGTGGGACGACCACCGGCCGGGGCTTTGAAACCATTCGTTTGGACATGTCCATTGCCATTCGCAACAAGTCCTCCATTCGCCACCCCTGTCTGATCGCATCGCTGCTGCTGCTGTTGCTGTATTTGCTGTGGCTGTTGCTGCTGTTGATCTTGTTGTTGCTGTTGTAGGTACTGCTGGTGGTGCTCAAAAGGCTGCTCCGGGGACTGCGGGGTTGGCGCTTGTGATGGCTCGGGAACCAGGACTGGCTCAACAGGCTTGGGGGGCGGGTGAGCAATGCTATAAAGTTGCTGGTTGGTGTGCCAGGTCTGCTCGGTCAAATTCGACGGCGCCATAATATCCATGGGGTTGACAGTTCCAGGTGCAGGCGACACAGGCGGCAAAATTGGCGGAGATTCCTGCTTTCCTTCCTTTGTGGTTCCCGGTTCCTGAGCCTGATCAGGCTCTGAGTTGGGGCTAGGCGGGTTGAATGGAGAGCCCAGCTGTCCGCGCGTGGAGGTCGCGCCGGGTCCTATTTCGCGGGAGAATGGCCCGGTAAGCTGAGTTGGCGAGTCTGACAAGCCCTCCCTCAACAACTCTTGCGTTGGCTGAATCTTTGCCCCCCTTGACTGAGAATCCTTGGTGCTTGACCGACCCTTGGGAAACATTTGGAGAAGGTTCTTCGCCAGGGAGCTGGCATAAGAGCTTGATCGCCTCGGCGGTGGCGCGGGAACAGGTTCATCTGTGGGAGGCGGGGTGACCATGCCGAAGGCCTCAGAAGGGATGATCGGGCTGTAGTAAGTAGCACTGTGTCCTTGAGTGGCATCTGAGTATTCCATTCCGTCAGCCCGAGTAGCGACCAGCTCTATGCCGACAGGAGTCCATGGATAGGACGATTCGCTCTTCCAGGTAGAGGCGCGGCCGAAGGTGTGGTCAGTACCGCGTCTGGTGGTAACGCTTGGTGCATGAGAGCTGTCGTCGCCAGTACAGCCACGTTGGTAGCTTCCCAAGTCTCGTTTGGATGGGTCGGTGCCGTGAGATGAGACGTTCAGCTCCTTGGTTGACTGCCGGTCCGGCCCTTGAAGAGCTTCATTCTTGTTGCCCAATGAGTCTCGTGATGACATGCGGCTAGACGCAGCTGGACCAGTCGTGGGCACGTTTCCCGATGGACGGAGCGGCGTGGGGATGAAGGCGGTTTCCGCCGTGTCCAGACGATTCGTCCCATTTCTCTTGCCCTTGATGCGACGAATTATGAAGGGGTAGGCGCAAATGATAGCAAGTACGAAGAAGATAATGATGCCAACAATAACGCCGGCAAGACCTCCTTTAGATAATGCCTCACTCCGAGGTTCCAGTGTCGAGCGTGAGTGAAGAGACAGCGGCTGTCCGCGAAGCCTGAATCGGTCCATGTCAATCGAAGCTGCTAATGATGAGGTGTCGTCAGTGTCGCCAAGGTCTGATTGGGCGGCAACGCCCTCAGACGAGGCTGCGGGAGGAGCCATTCTAGGCACCACGCGTCAGCACTCGCTGCACCACATGAACCACCCCCCAGGGACCTGTGACACTCGGATGACGGCGGCGTAGACGGCGAGTGCGATGAGAGGATGAGCAATCGATACTGCGTCCTCGAGCGACGGAATTCGTAGTGAGTAAAGCTGGTGAGATGGGGTTTGCTGTGGATGAGCGGTCGCCGTGATGGCGATGAGCCCACGAAAGAGGAAACGGATGAGGTGCAGTTCAAGTCAGCAGTGTAATGGGGGCAGTTTGGATTAATTAGGCCGGTGCAGGTCTTCAGCCTCACCAAAGCGCGGGCGTTGTACCCTCCAAGTGTACGGGGAGAGTTGGAGTGGACTTTCAGGGTCACAGGTAGGCCAAGGTCGGACTGGGTTGCCTCCCGCCTCCACGTCGGCCGCAGAGTAAGGAGGTACATTGCAGCGACTTGTGGCTCAGGCGGGCTGGTGGGGTGAAGACTGAAAACCGCCGATGAAGGTGGCCGGGCAGAGCAAGAAAAGCCGGGTCTAGGCGAAGATTGCGGCCACGTGCAGGTATCTCGCTATCAAAATTTGCCCCCATAATTCCGGCGGATTGGCTCGAGTGATCCAATCGTATTGCCCGCAGCGCCATTTCCTGCCCCGCCACACGGCCTCTCCACGACCCCTGCCTTGGACTTGGTACTTGATTCTCCGAGGACTGAGGACTGGTGGAAGCTTTCAGTGCAAGTCCCTTTCTCCTGGAGTCCTGGCCGTTGTGCCCCGTCATCCTGTACCGCTGCTCACTGCCACCAGCCACCCACTGGCCATGGTTCCCGCGGGCGACGACCGTGGAGCGCTGTGAGGAATGTTCCGTGAGCACCAGACCCTGTCAAAACCCTTAGTTGGTGGGGTCAAGCTCCATCACCGTTAGGACTATCCGTACTTTTCAGGTGGGCAGAATACTTCAACGGAGATGATCGCAATCCGTGACCGAGATGCCGGCAGCTGCCACGGGGAGAATACGGCTGCCGCACAACATTTCCTCACACTGCCGCAGAAAGCAGAAGCAGAGTCAAATGCCAAACGATGGCCATCTTACGTGCTCAAAGTTTCATCGTGTTCAAACCTCTGTCTTACAGCAGCAGGAACGGCATGAGAGACGACAGTGTCCGCGCAACATGCGTTGACGCTGACAGCATCACCCTTGCCTCCAAC